TTTAAGAAAATCCCAATTTCCAGGGCAGGACCCCTGGCCAACCACATTGGGATCTTCCTACTCGAGACCTCCACAGTCGGCAGGGGGGAAGCAGGGGCAGCAAGGTTACCTGGAGAATGCTGCCCTGCTGGACCTGACAACTTTACTACAGGGACAAGGCCCACCCTGGCGATCCCACCAGCTCAGGAGGGAGGCAAGGGCCCCTCTAGATGTCACTGTTCTTTGTTGCCTGGATTTCCCGCAATGCTCCCCATGTTTGAACCCAATAGGAGCAGTCTTTGTGACACAAAGCAGGAGAGGGGTGGGTATTGTGTCTGGAAGGGGAAGGGCAAGTCTAGCTCACACTTGTCAAATCGCACTTCCGGTCTGGACTTCAGATCCTCCCTCCTACACAACTGCTACCAGGAGAGTCTGACTCCTGATCAGAGCTGTAAACAGGAAAACAACTGATCTAATTAAAGAAAAAAGTAAAAAAAAAAAGATAATCAATCTGCTCAAGGCTTCTAAATCAATTCCTTCCCTTCTTAAGCACATAATACCTAAAATAGTTTCTTGATAACATTTTAGAGAATATTAGATTGGATAGGTAAGTAAAGTCTACAGATGTGAAATTAGATCTTATTGGGCAGCCAATATATCTCAAAGAATTTTGTGCCGGGGAATACCTAACTCTGATCTGCCCACTTTGAAGAATAATCCTCAGAAGCTTGAAAGACAATTTCAAAAGTGTTGCATCTAGAGACATTAAGGTTCTATGAGATTAAAAGGAGAGACAAGAAGGTATATAAGAAACTTTTGGAAGTAAAATTAATAGAATTTGGTGACTGATTGAATAGAGGCATTAAGTTAGAAGTAGAACACCCTTAGGATCTTAACTTAAAGACAAATGCGTAGATACTGCTATATAGTTTGACTGTTTGTCCCCTTTTAAACTTATGTTGAGATTTAACTGCTGTTGCAAATTAAGATTAGATGAGCTCATGATCAGGAAGGCTCCGTGTCAGGATTTCTGGCTTTACAATCCTATCGGCAAGCCAGCGGCTCTCTGTGTCCACCACTCGATGTCTTCCACCCTGCGTGTCCAGCAGAAAAGCCTCATGAGATGCTGAGAGGTGCTAGTAGCTTTGGATGTCCCGGTCTTCAGAACAGTCAGCTAGTGCTAGCCAACCACTATTCTTTAGAATTTAGCCAATCTGAGATTTTCAGTTATAACAACAAATAATAATAGGAGCATTCACTGGGGAGAGAGGTGGATAATCATTCCATTTGAAGCAGAGCACAACGTGCCTATGAAATCCAGCCTGCAGGGTGTAGAAGTGCTCTTGGTGTAGCGAGCAGGTAAAGCTATGGTTATGAAGGAAATCTGGCAACGGAGGGGAGTGGAACAGAGATGGCTTTTACAGCACTGTGGGAAATGGCGTCTCTTCCTGCTTTAGTGCCACTATTTCCCATCAGACCACGGACTTGAGAACAGAGCCCTGGCTGCCCCTGTCCATGTGTACTTTTCCATCCAGCATGGCGCGGAGCCCACAATGAAGGCTTGGTGGTTATCACTGAACGGAGTGTGTTCAGTCTGGGTAACGCAGATGGGAGAAGGTGATCGTATACAGGAAGTAGAGTGACTTGGAGACCAAATCACGTCAGTCTCCTAATGAGGCCTCTTTTAGAGTTCGCCTCTGAATCGGAAGTTCCATTTCCTGACTGAGAAGTTACAATACATCTTCTTTCCTTCGATTTCCTCAGTTTCTAAATTCATCTTAATCCCTACATTTTCACTTTTTCTCAGGTCTTTAAGAAATGAGTATTTTGAATCATAGTGCTTTATCCATTTTTTTCTGTAATGAAAACCAAACTTTGAACACCAAAAACTAGTTTGCCACTTTATGGAAAAATGAAAAGAATTTAAACATCAGCAACCACGTGAACTGAACCTCCCATGCATTTTGGGTCTTAGCATGGGATGTCAAAGTTCTGAATGAACAAGAAAATTAAAAATGACTGATTCTGACAATAGTGACAGATTTTTTTTCTAGTTAGGTGTTTATAAAAAATTTAAGGAAAACTTCAGTATGACATCAACTGAGATAATTAAAAATACAATTTGATATATTACTATGTGACTTCTGGTAATAAATCAGAAAGAGCCTTACATATTGGGTAGCATTGCTTAATAAAACTATCATCTGCAGCTGCTTGTTTATGTAAACAAGTTTTTCTAGTGTTTATATCTATAAAAAACGAGAGTAGAATGTGCTAATCTGTGCCACATTCTACTTTTAAGTAATATTTATCCATGGAAAAGTCATTAACTAGGAAAAACAACTCTGTTCGGATCACTGAGATACATTTCTAATAAAATTTTATAATTTATATGTTTACTTTCAAATTTTATGACTTTCTATTGCTTTGATCTGTGGTGCTTGAGTAAATTACAGTGAAACTCAGTTCAAGAAATTGTTAACTTTAGTTTATGTTCATAAGAAAAAATTAATTTTCAAATTTCAAGTACAAATTATGATGCATGCATGTTTGAGAGTTTAATCAAAAGAACACTTTCAAATGTATCAATGTTTAGTATTTGGAAAATATTCCATGAGAATGATGAAAAAATGAGGCCACAGATGAGAAAATTACCAAATTTCTGACTGCCAAAAAGAAAATTTTTCTTCAGATATTCTTTAAAAGGGTAATGGTATGCACATATGAAACACTATGTCTAAATTCTGCCAAATATTTTTAAAAGAATGATGTTATATGTTTTAGGATAGTAATGTTTGAAATATGCACCAAATAACATCCTTTCTAGTTGTTTAGGATGAAAACATTTTTTTGTTGATAACTTAAAATCTTTGAGGCACCTAGTTTTAAAATTTTATTTTAGAGTAAACACCATCACAAATCATTTAGGAGTAACTGCCTAAGGCAGTAAATGTTTGGCAAGAATCATCTGATGGATTCAGACAAAACTCTGAATTAAACTCCAATTAAAACCCAGACTTCACTTATTCTGTAAATACCTCAACAAAAACCATTATTGTACTATTTTGGTATTTGCTCTTTCTTGTTCAGCTGGGATCCAAATATACAGAAATGATTAATAATGAGAAAAGATTATACAGTCCTGAATGACTCATTCAAGGACCTTTCTAAACCTTCTGTTTAGACTAGTTTTAGAAATGAATTGCTTGGGTGAATGATTCGGGTTTGTTTAGCAAATGAAACTTGCAGTCCAGAAAAAATAAAAATGCACGAATATTGATGCTCACATACCATGGTGGGCCTTTCGCTTTAGAAACCATTTCTCCACATTTCTAAAATCAGGGAGCATGAAAAGAAACACATTAAAAATAGACATTGAACCAGGCATGGTGGTGCATGCCTGTAGTCCCAGCACTCGGGAGACTGAAACAGGAGGATCACCTTGAGTTTGAGGCCAGCTTGGGCTACATAGTGAGTTCAACACCAGCCTGAACTATATAGTGAGACTCTGCCTCAAAAAAAGAGAAAAAAGAAAAAAAAATAGACATTGAGTCTACTTGACAATATTTCTAACTTTATCTAGAACATATTTTCTTTCTTACAAACTTTTCTTGGGAAACAGTGGTGAGCAAAATCAACTATGAACATTTTTATAATCTATTTCGTTTTTTGCTATCAATTTCCAAATCTCTTAAGTTCATTATATGTGATGCATGATTTCAGAGCAAACAGACCACGAGCTAATCCAGTTGCTGCTCCCTTACACTGAAAAATCATGTAAGGTCAACAAAGTTCTACTCACTAACACACTAAAATGACACGTCCCTCCGGGTACTTTCTCTCTTGTATTTCTGCTACCCTGCCAGCCTTCCTCTCCTCCCCGAAGTGCCACTGACTGTAGAAATGCAGAGAAGCACCTCTTGCTGACACTAAATAACATAATTCTCCTTAAACTTCTCACTTGACCCGGTATTCTGAGTATCCCACATCTTCCATTATGAGCGCCTAGATCAATAAATTTTTATAAATCTCACAAAAGTGTATCTCCACAAGTAATCCAAATGCTTGTATACTTCCTTGGGTTACTTTTTTTCCACATATATAAAAGGAATGACCAATTGCACACGGAAAGAAACAGCTCAGAAAAGAAGTGAATTTCTTCCCCTCTATTCACCTACAACAACCTGTGTAGCTTTGAGACTACAAGAAAGAAGCCACAAAATAATTTTCAGCCCAACTTTGTGCTTTATGATATCTTCTATGCAACTATGGAGTGTATAATGGATTTATTCTTCCAGGTCATCAGTAAAGGTATTGAATAAAATAAGCTCTCAAATAATTCCCAGGGGATATATTCAGTATAAAAACTTCCCTGTGGGCAGCACTCTATCTAACTCATTCACTGCTAAATCCTCAGGGCCTAATTGTGCCTGACACATACACAGTACTCAGTGAAGAATGAATGAACAGGGAATAAAGGAATGAATGGATAGCTGAATGGATGAGAACTTGCCAGTTTTCTATCTCCTGATTAATATTCAGATATGATAATCTAGCCAGTAAATTCACCTCCTAAATCCATACTGATCAGGAACACATTTTATGAAAACACCATGCAAGATCTTGAAATTACCTGCTTCCACTAGACACCAGCTAAGTGACCTTCAATAAATAACGAGCTCTCTGCACATGACCTTCATCAGATGGTAAAGGCACCTCCTTCACAGGCCTGAGATAATGTATGTCAAATATGTGGGCTGGCTCACGGGAAGCAGTCTGTCATGTGAGCAGTAACTTTTCTTATTTCAGACTTCTTCCAGATTTGACATCAATATGGGGCACGGAGATGAAAACATTACCAAGGGTTACTATCTCAGTTTTTGCAGGGACACAGGTACTCTCTTTACTGCCACTAAACCATTTTATCCAAGCCAGTGGCTCATTTTCTACGATGGAATCAGATCATGAAAATATTGGTGCACATTAAGGTTTTCAGTTGAAAATAACCAGACAAGTCACAGTGTAGTAAAAGAAGGATTTTAGGTTTCTTTGGTGAAACAAAAGCAGATATAAAAAGTTACAAAGATTTTAGATTTCCATTCACAAAAAAAAATCATTCACATTTTACACTATACAGGTTATAATATAAATACAGGAGAGTATTATGTGCATTGTAATGAAAAGGGAAAAAGAAAACCCTAGTAAGTCAACACAGTGTCTGTATGTGAGCTACAACACCTAAGGGTGGACACATTTGATGCTGCTCCAGTATACTGCATATGATTGTGAGCTACGGGCTTCCTTTCTGGGGCAAAGGAGTTTCATGAGAGTCCATGTTGGGTCAACCTGTCTGCTCTTTATCTGGTTTTCTATCTCTTTTTTAAAAAAATTTAAACTGTTAACTGATCCATAAACACACAGAAGTTACACATAACTACGGGGTTCCCTGTGATGTTTCAATACTTGTGTCCACTGTAATGTTTAGCTCAGGTTAAGCATCTCAATCGCTTCAAGCATTTATCATTTCTATTTGCATTTTATTTGTTGTCTCTTCTTGGTTTCTTTCCATTACAGATTTGTCTTTAAACATTAAATTAAGCGGATAATGATTCAGTCATCTCCAGCAGTCTCTTTATTCAGATAGCAGGGAAAAAACAGAGTGGGAAGAGTCGAGGAGAAATTTCCACACATACACTCCACCTCACAGGAAGAAATGCCAGGCTAACCCTACACAGAAACCTTGCTTAGAATGTCCAAATGCCACTTGCTGAAAGCTAGACACTTTACCACTCTTTCCATAGTAAGCACTTGATGTATTCTATCCATTACATTATTTAATCAGGGACAAAGTACCTACATTATAGCGTTCCAAACTATGTGAGGAAAATACAAAGCTAACACTGAAAAATAACTAGCGTACTCTATCCATTTTCAGGTCTTGGGGAAAATAACATCCAATAAATTAAATCAGTATGGCTTACTTCATTTATTTATGTATGCTTCACAGCTGCAGCATTCATACATGAACATTCAAAACTGTATAAAAGATTAAAATGGTTATATATACAAAAATTTATTTTTTCTTTTCTTTTTGCATGTGTGTTGTTTTAACAACCCCCCACCCTCCAGAGGCCTGGGTCTCCATCCATTGACAATGTCTTGATTTGCAGGTAACCTTGTTGGAGTTAGTGTTATGAATGCATTAGAAAGCAGACCTGGTTGAGTTAATAATTAGCACTTTGTCTGCTAAAAAATGTTCCTGGTCATAGAAAAGTCCTCCACTCAGGCCTTCCATGTAAGTTGAAGGAAAAAGATTGTAGCAGAGAAGAATTGCACGTTGGAGTCCGTTCCTCAGGATCATTAGGCAGGCTTCAGCTTTAGCATCTCGGCGAAGCCACCTGCACACGTGCCCCAGCATGCTGTGACCACTGGGGCTGGGGCTGCTGCCTGTCCAGGGAAAGCTGTCCTCTGTCTTGCTGCCAGTCAAAGGGCAAGTGAAACCATTTCCAAGCCAAACAAACTCCACCAAAGCAGCCGATCCAATGATTAAAGACCTTGAAGGCTCCATAATCATCATTAAATATGCCCAAACTCAGTGTGACTTTTTATTTTATATACAGGAGTAAAATCAACATTAAATCATCTTATTTACATGGCCTTGGGTGCTGAAATTGAGCTTTTTAAATAGTACAGAAGCCTGGTAGACATTACAGAAGGATCTGTGCCAGAGGCCAAGAGAAAACTAAAGAAACGAGACAGGCTGGAAATGGTTCCTTCTGCCCTGGTTTTCCTTCGTTTCGTTTGCTGTTCTTTTGGATGCCGATACTTTCATTTAAGGTGTTTTGGGCACATGGTGGTCCACAAATCGAAACCAACAGATAACACTTCTCAAGGTGGTCGGAAAGGCACAGGAAGTTAGGACTTTGGCTGAAATGATGAAAGCCTATTTTGCCATTTGAGCGATCAACGCCCCGACTCCTGCCATCTCCGGCTCCAACGATGCTCATGTTTGGATGTGTTTACAGAATTGTCCTTTGCTGATGAGGAATTTTTAAAGTATTTCTTAGAGTAAGTCCTTTGGTATGCAGATGCTACATGGAAGGAAAGAAAAAGAAAGAAAGAAAGAAAACACAACAACATTACTTGCTCCATACCCTAAACTCTGATACCAAAGCCGCAAAATGAGGGTGGCTAGTAGTTGTTATGGCATGGCTGTCCATTCTTTCTAAAGGACCACTTACGATTCATGCAGGTAATTTTAGGCATGGCCCATCTTCCATTCCCTAGGCACCGGATAGTTGGAAGGTGGCGTTGAATGAAACCGTCTTTGCAATGATATCTAATCAAGGAGTTGATTTCATAGCGAGGTTTCAGCTTTCCAAAGGTCTTGGCATTTTCTACCACAGGAGGCTGGCCGCAAGCAACTGAGAGAAAGCAGATTGGGTTATTTCCAAATAAAGTAACAATTTCAATTCATTCCCCACCCTACCTCCCTCTCCTCTTCTATTCTCTTTCATTCTCTCTCTCTCTCTCTCTCTCTCTCTCTCTCTCTCTCCTCTCCATGCACCATCATAAAAGGCTAATATCCAAACTGAAGAAACTGAAATAGTTGAAGAACAATTTCAGTGGAAGTTCTAGGTCTACTTTGAATCTCAGATTATGTCTACCTGAATTTTATTTTATTAAAAATCACAGCACTAAATGGTCATACAGTCATAGAGCTTTATGGCAGGGCTACTTTGCTGAAATTAAAAAGCACCTGTCTCACTTCAGTGAGTGGTCTATTGGTTTTATCCTTATAACCATCCCCCAAATTTGACTCATTATCTTCTTTCACATGGCATGGTAAAGGATTTGTAACGATTAATGATTACCCTCACTTCCCGGGAAAGACTCACAATCTCTAACAACATCGAAGTTCTGACAGACAGACCGACATCCCCAAATACAAATAAAATACTGTCAGATCCACTTGTTTTTGCTCTTTTCCATCTTATGTTTTGAGACAGGAGAAGAGAATGAATCATATTCATCCCTCAGTTTTGTCAGTACCTTAATAAATACACATTTAAATGCTTGAGTAAGTAAAGCTTGACCCGCTTAGCTATCATTTTTATATTACAGTGAAAAACTCCAGTTATCCACAAACTTAGCAATAAATAATAATAATAATAATAAAAGAAGGAATAAAAGAAACTTCTCTATTTTGAAATTCAAGAAGCTGGAAAAAATAATTCATCTGAATTTGTATTAGCATATTTTATTCAACATTAGTGCAGTTATTTTAAATTATATTTTTAAAACCACTTAAAAATTATTGTGTTTTGCTATATATCTTCTATGGAAATGTAATCACTTGAATCCAATTCTCCCTAAAGGGTATTTTCTACCCATAGTTTAAGTATTCTGACACCACCGTCCATAAGGACATGCCATATCATCTCAGGAATCTAGGAAAAACTTCAGTGGGAGAAAAATTACCAGAAAACTTGGTACCAAAATGTTTAGATGTCAAAATCTTAATATCAATAGTTTATAATAATTATTAAATTTGTTTTCACTTTCAGAAGGGTGTCTACATGGAGACAAATTTTGAGTTTCACTTAATTATTTAATTCTCCAAATTTTCTTTTGCTTGATCCTAATGGGAATACTGGCAAACTACTTTTATTGTGCTAGGAAAAACATATATGACCTGTGAACAAAAAACATGGTGTGTTTTTGAATCAAAAGAACTTTTATTATAGTAAGAGACAAATTGCCCTTCACGCCTTCAAAACACTCCCTTCCTCCTAATACACTTATCCCATCATTCTTGTTGCTTTCAGAAGCAGCTCTGGAAGTCTTCTTCCAGGAGTATCTTTAAATGCACCTGAAAGTCCTCAACTGGTTCAAAACATTTAATTTTTCTGGTCATTTTCGTTTTAGGAAGGAGTCAGAAGTCATCCAGTGCCAGGTCCAGTGAATAAGGTGGATGAGGACGCACTACCATGTTTCTCTGGGCCTGTCTGTCTTCTGAATGACACCCAGCAGCAGCATTCACTGTACTTTTGGGTCGTACCTCATAAAGACCGTCATGAACGAGAACTTCCAGAATTGCTTCAGAAAGTGGCAAGAAAGGTGGGATAAATATGTTTGAACCGAGGGGGAGAATTTTGGGGCAATGTGTCTTTATTATAATAATTTTGAATTTAAATATTTACCATATTTTTCAACCAAGCCTTGTATTAGGTAGGATCAGACAGAATGAGACCAACGTCATACAAATTAGTTAAGCATGGTCCAATAGAATTTTATGTGAGTCTGAACTATACTGACAAAATAGAACTTGTTTTTAATCGTTGTGAGAGATTGAATTTCTTCTAAAACTATTTATATATAAAGACTATGAAAATCTAAAATGATTTAGTAAATGTAGAGAAAAGACAGGAAAATAGACCAGAAATAGATCCACACCTACTTGCTTGATAGTTGACAAAAAACAACATGGCAGCACAGGCAGGAGGCAGAAGTAAAACGCGGACAACTGGCTAGAAAGGCAGCTGTGGATGGCGTACGTATATAAACTGAAAAGCTAAATCATTAAGTATTTAGAAAACATAGGCTACCTTTATGATTTTAGGCATGTACAGATTTCTTAAAACACACAGAAGGTTAAGCCATGAAGGAATATTCAACAAAATTAAGAATCCTATTCATCAAAAAATTCCCTAAGGTAAGGCTTAGACAAACTACAAACCAGGAGAAGACATTTGCAACGTATGTAACTGCCAAGGAATCATAACAATAATTTTAGGAACTCTTGCAAACTAATATGTAAAGGATATATAAGCAAATTTCAAAAATAAGCAAAAAGAGAAACTTTACCAAAAACAAAAGATTTTCACATGTCCTATAAGACAAGGCATTCAGGGAGAAGTATTCAAGAAAATGCAAATTAAGTTACAAGATACAACATTTTATACCCTCCAGATTAGCAAAAATGTCAAAGTCTAATAGTATCAAAAGCTGGAGAAGATGTGGAGAAACACATCGCTGGTGGGTGTGTCAACTGGTATAACCATTTTGGAAGGTAATTTGGCATTTTCTAGTAAATTTGATGCTGCATATATCCTATGACTCAGCAACTTCACTCCTGGACATATGCCCTCCGAATCTCACAAACATCTACCAAGAACATCTTGAAGGATATTCACAGCTGTTTACAAGAGCAAAAATATTGTCTGTAATCCAAATGTCCACTGACAGGAGAACTGATAAATGGTGTATAGTCAAGCAATGAAGTAGGATACAGCAGCCAAAGACAAAACATGTAGCTACATGTATCGGCATAGAGAGAGCTCACAAACATAATGCTGAACCACAAAAAAAGCCAGGTAGAGAGTACATAAGTATTATTCCACCTATATAAACTTCAAACGTTTGCAAAATTAAACAATTTGTTATTTGAGGATGCAAGTGTATATGTTAATATTAAAGGGAAAAGCAAGGAAATAAAGTCATCACCTCTCATGGAAATTGTGGAGTAAATAAACAGTATCAGGAGACCACAGGGTACTCCAAAGATAAGGGATAGTAGACAATATGGTATCTTCTTCTAAAAATATACTTTTCCCACATATTACCCTTTGTAAGTATTTCATAGTTAAAAGCAGAACTACTTACATCGGTAGGTTTAAAGGTCTGAGCTATAAAAAGAGGAAAGATTATCTCTTATAAAAAATCTATAAACATAAAATTCTCCAGAGCATTGATTAGAAAATAATAGCGTATGGATAAATTCATAAATTGTACAGTCTTCATATTTATTTACTATACATAAATAAAAAAATCAGACAGTGGGGAGTGAAAATAAGGAACAATTCTCCTTCCATAATGGGCCAGAGCCAGCATTTTATAAAATCCACCCTGCACTGGGAAATGTGAAGCAAATGCTGATCAGTCAGGAACTGCCTTAGAGCCCCGAGTGGTGGCACAAACCTATAGTCCCAGCACTCTGGGAGGTTGAGACAGGAGGAGCACAAGTTCAAGTCCAACCTGGGAAACTTAGTGACCCAATGAGACCTTGACTCAAAAAGTAAACATTTAAAAATATAAAACTTGAGCTCACTCCGGAGATTTAGCTCAGTGTGAAGATCGTGGGTTCAATCCCTAGTACCACCAAAAGCAAACAAGAAAGCTGTCTGGCTTAAAATGTCAACGGCACTGCTGCTGAGAAACCTTGTTACAGAGGAAAATGATACAGGAAATGTAAGAGTTTTTAGACCCTAAAATGAAAAGGCATGACTCCAGCACACACTGGGAAAAGCACAGAGGCAAACATGACTTTGGGATAAGGACAGTTTATTAAACACTCACTGCAGTGGAAAATGGACAGCAGCCAGTCTTTGATCATTGTTTTAGGAGTTCCCTGACAAGGAGTAGGGGAGGGCCAAGGTCCCTGAGAACAAGTTCCACCTGTGCCTCGGGTGAGAGAGCAGCAGAAGGGTCCACTAAGGATCATCTGAGACAACGGCTTTGCGTACCTTCATGTTCTCTTTCCTCTCACAGAATTCATTATTTACGTTTGAATCTTTTAAAAATATGCATAGAGCATGTATCTTTAGTTTTATCACTTTTACATTCAAAGACAATCCAAATGGATTTTCCAGTTTGCATTCATCCTTGGTCCTCCTACTTGAGGGAGTAGACATTTCATACTACTGTCAAAACTGGGCTTTAAAACGTTTATGGAATTTCTGTTTGTTAAGAGAGTCTATAGAAATTCAAACACAAGACATGCTTAAAAAATCAGCTTTTAAAATTTTGTTTTTCTGTGTAATGTTAACCAAGCATTCTCAGCATAGCTGAATCTCCCCACATGCTGCTTATCATGGGGCTGTGGGTGGAATAAGCCCACGGTTGCAGGGTCCTTACCGGTGCCCTTCTTGCAGGTATAGGTGAGGTGGTAGTTGCACGGAACATCATTCCACTGGCCGTTTTCATGCCAAATGATGACCACGCAGTCTTCTCCAGCAGAAAAGAAACTATCTGGCTGGTTGGGTCTCCAGTTCTCATATTGCTGTAGAAATGGAGAGAGATGATAACTGTTTAACCATCCAAGGTAACAGAAGGGCACCATGGTGATCTGCATGGGATGACTTAAGAATTTGCTGGCCCACAGCACTGAAATCATTTTCATGTTAAAGGCTTTCCAACTCTGAGCAGAAAATAGCTGTGTCTGTGTCTCCAAGTCTTTATTTAATAAATACCTGATCTTTGGCAATGAAAATATCTTTGAGGAATTTTGGTCTAGTTATCCTAAATTTCCAAATACCTAATATACCCTCAATTTGACAAATCTATCATATTATTATTACCTGTAATAATATTAATGGAAGCAAAACTAGACAAAAACTTCACAATTTCACTCAAATCTATCATGTTTTCTTCCAGAATTTATATGCACATATACTATTCAGTCATGATCATCATGCAGTAAGTTTTAGTTTTTTCTTGTCTTTCCCACTATCAAATGCTTTCCTTTGTCATTTATTTGACTTAAAAGATTGAGATACCCCAAAAATGTTGTATTTACCTGATAAACCTATGCTCACCAATTTATGTACAATCTTTCAGAAATATTTTGCGTTAGATAAGCTTTTTTATTTGGACTATACAGTTGAGTTCTGCTCTGAGATCTAATCTGGAAGTTGCCTACTTTTAGTAGGAACATTTACAAATTCATGCATACTGATATAAGAATTAGGTTTTCAAAAGTACGTATTATTATAATATGTTTTACTTCTTTGTCACTGTGTGTGGACAACGGAAAAGGATTTTGTTGCTTTGATGCTTTTCCACTGTTTACCTTTATCTTATGTCTCAAAGGGTGCCACTGACCTCCCACTCTAAACAGGGAAGTGTAGCTATAAATACCGTTGGCCTCCTATGGTAATAACATCATTTACCATCAATAATGCATGAAGACTTTGCCTAGATACTTGATATGCATCATCTCTCACAAGCATTTGGCACAACTGGAAAACATTCAGAGTTAGAGCTTTGAGCACCCTGCACTCTCTAAGTTTCTTTCTTTATTAAAGTGTTGCCTTCATAGCAATGAATAACTATACGAAAAACACAAGTTCTGTGCCTGTTCAAGAATAAGAAATGCGGATGGGATAAAAATAATACTCAACTACAAATACAAGGCCAGTTTCCTAGACCTGGGGCTTCATAACTAGAACGCGTTACAGGCTGAGTTTGCCCAGTGTCTTCTCAGCTCAGCTTGAGTGTCCTTTCCATGCTGCTTTGCTGCATGTGGGGTCTCACACCGTCTAGCACTGAGCCGCTCCTGGTGCGAAGCCTCCCCACTGTGGTAGTGATCAGATTCAGGTTTCAGTTACGACAGCCCATGTGAGGATCTGAGGCTAGAGATCTACTAGTCTTTCCTTAAATGAAATTTCAAATGAGTCTGGGATGTGAAATGAGTAATGCAGTTTTATTTGTGAAGGACAGAGGCAGAGAGGAAATCGTTGAAGAGTTAAGACAGTTTCTCTAAGTTCAAAGCATGTAAAAACAATTTCTTCTCTTTACTTACTCCCAACAGTAACATGGCTATTTTTGTGCCCTTTAAGATGCATACTGTGTCAAACTCATTTTACTTTTCACTTACCAAAGTATTTCATTTGGCTACTTGCAGTATTGTCAGAAAAAAATATTTCTTTTGGTGTATTAATTCTCAATTCTTTGTATAATGCAAACTTAATGAAATATTTCTTTAGCTATAATAGGAGTTTTATGTGCGGTCAAGCTTGTTAAAATCAATAAAAATACAATTCATATACTAGAGAATGACTATTTTTCTTCTCAGACAAAAAGTTGTTTTTAAAGCCTTTCCGCATGTTAAACACCTAGATCTTTGACAAAATGTGGGAAGAGATCTAAAGCTTGAAAACCTGCTTTGCTTTCCGCCTTTTGCTTAGCTTTACTTTAAAGTCCTCCTCCATCTTTAGGAGACCAGAAGTCCCTGCCCATTAACCAGAGCTCTGAAGAGCAATGAGACTGCAAGAACCAAGGGAAGGTAATGAAGTTGCTTTTTGCCAAAACGCAGAATGAAGGGTGATTTTATTTCTCTGGAGAAAACTGAACTCAGAAGCAAGATGAACTGGAATCCAAGTCTAGAAACATGAGTGGGGTCCCACAGGTACCATCACCCACAGCACCGTGCCTGGGGCTTCCCTGCCGACTGGAAGTAACCTTCGCTCTGAAATGGCCTGTCCAGTGATTTCTCTGATTCTCCTGGTTTTCTTTATTCCTCACTTCCCCTCCCTTGTCATTCCTTACCCTTCAATCACAAAGACATTCTGTTTTTGAAACTACTTTCATAGATAAGCGAAGCAGAGGTATAAAAGTCAAGTTCTGCTTGTGGCTGATGTATAACTAAGATTTTTAAACAGATGAATTAAAGCAGCATATGAATTTTAAAACTAAAGGCTAAGAACTCATTAAAAGAAAGCAACCCACATGGAGTGTGTTGCCCTTTTCCCAAGGAACGTGACCTTCTGGGAGCCAAGGGGGCCAGAGTTCCCAACGGTGTTCAGGGACTGGTGCACACAGAAGTATAAAACCATGCAGAAAAGGTGAAAAAATAGCATAAATTTAAGTGGAGTAATCATACAAACTGTTAACCTGGATACCTACAGGACTCTGAAGAATAGGAGAAGATACTCACTAGACTCGTCTTGCTATTTTTTCAAGGGAGAAGATATTTCCATTCCTAGTCTCCATTTACTCAGCAAAAATAAGTTCCAAATGCAGATTAAACTGTTATATATTAAACTAAACCCCCAGAATCTAGTTTAAAACAAACTCCCAGGGAATTTCTACAAGAAAATTCTGTCCAGGCATGGTGACACACAGCTGTAATCCCAGAACTCTGGGAGGCAGCAGCAGGAGGACTGAAAGTTTGAGCCCAGCCTAGGCGACTCAGCAAGATCCTGTCTCAAAGTAAAAAATAATAAATAAATGGTCTGGGCTCAGGGCATAGCTCAGTGAGAAGGCCTTGGATTTAATCCTCAGTACTAGCAAAGAGGGAGGACAGGGGAGAGAAGCAAAGGAGAGTGGAGGAGAGAAAGGAGGACAGAGAAGCAGGGAGGGAAGGAGGGAGAAAGGAAGAATAACTGTTTCCTTCTCACACTGAAATGAGACTTAGAGTCTGTGCCACTGAAATGATTCTCAGGGGTTAACCTGCCCAGACCCCTGGTAAAAGATTTAATTGTCTTTGCTAAGAATTAGACTTGGCTTGCAGCAAAGATTTAAAATGTGGGTTCCTGCTGTTGCTGGGCAGGACTTGGTGTAATGGTGCAGGACCAAATTTTAGCTCCATGGTTTTTATAGGAATGGCTTGATACCCACAGGAACAACATGCTATTACCTCAGATGTGATAGCTCCACTGCGTAGATTTATCTTGGCTAGGACACTTCCATTTTGTTCTGTATTATTGCCAAACTTACATAGAAAGGGAAACTCCAGTTTTCTGAACAACTTTCTTTGTTTCCTTTTCAATTCTTTTACTTAGAGGGAGACAGAATATAAAAAATAAATCTTGGACTTTAGGTCCCATAATGTATTTTTTTTCCCACTAAAGTTAGACATTAGGAGGAAACCCCTCCTTAGGAAATCAATCAGCCTGGGCTGATGGCCTCTTGCATATAGTGTCTCTTCCATCCAGAAACACACTCCTTGGAATGAGCAGAGAAAAACTCACCAACTTTCAGCAAGAATTTTTTTTCATAACATGAAATAATGAGCAAACATTTTGGTTGATCTGTTCTAACTTGACACACTTCTAGCGCAGGATGGGCAAGCTAGGAATTATTCCTAAAAGCCACCGAGGGTCAGAAAAACTCATTTTAATGTCTTTGATCAAAATAAATGCTAGTCATGCTTCTGCACATCTGTGCCTCAGATATTCATGATTCCCACTCCCAACCCCAAACTCCTGGACCATACTCCAAACTCCCCAAGGACCACACGAGTCACACCACCAAATCTAGATCTCCGGAGAGAGAGCCCCAAATTACTGTGCACTTTCATTCATGACACAGGGGAAGTATTAATGATTAAGATATGACCATGCAGTACCACCAGTTCTCCTAGATGAATGTAATTACTGCGTGTCACAAACATACACTAATGAAAAAACTAGAAGTCTCAAGTAGCTGATAAAAAGGATGTAAAACTTTCTTATGTATTAGGAGATAATTATGTTACATCTAGTATGAAACTGCAGGACACTATCTATTACATGATAAAATATTTTTGTTTCCAATTAAATGACTGGCCCTATGTATTAAAAATGCTCACCCCAAAAGATGTGCACTTCAATCAAACTGAATACAGTCACTTTTCATGTAATATTTTCTCCTTCCTCCAAATGGATTCAAATGAGTCAACTGCCAAAATAATAAAATGACTTTCTAAACCTGTACATGTAACACCTCCCCAGGATGAATCTAGTCATTATGCACTAATAATGATATGCTAATAAAAATAAAAGTATGGTTCTTTCACATAAAAAGTGTCTCCATGTACCAGAGGGCTCTCAGAGGACCCATCTAAATACTGGGGAGAAAAATTCAAAGCAGACTAAAGTTAGTCATCAACATCTACCAAACTATAAATGCTTGGATTATTTTGTTCCAAACAATCCATATTGTCAAAAATATATCTCTGACTCACAACACCGGAGAAGAGGAGACCCACCCTCAGGTTTCCCGCCACAGGAGTTCCTAGGCTGCTTACACCAGTAGCCCTCAGACAGTGACACAGACCTCAGGGGGCCGGACTGATTCCATCCCCCAGAATGGCTGGAGAGTGACTTCTCATTTGATTCCTCATCTCTGAAATTCCCCAACCTACTGGGGCTGGAGTTGTGTTGCATGGTGGAAATGCCTTCTTAAGAAGTAGTTCACATCAGTTCAAGGCAAATCTCTGACTGCATAATGTCTGGGAGGTCCTGATATTCAGATACCAGATGATTGTCTAGCTTATAAAAGACACCACTAGACAGGATT